CTTGGGTGAAGCCTTTGGCGAAGGCTTGGGTGAAGCCTTTGGCGAAGCCTTTGGTGAAGCCTTTGGCGAAGCTTTTGGTGAAGCCTTTGGCGATGGATAAAAGGGAGACATGGTGGGCGGAGTCTTAGGTGCCTCTTCCTCCGGCACAGGTTCACGCATCTGTTGATTGGCTGAACTCGCAGCCGCAGCCTCATCGAGGGTTTCAAGAGTTCTCTTCCTGGGAAGCTTGCTGGCAACGGCCTCTCCTTTTGGAGCATTTGGCCTCTCTGCAATGGTAGGGTCGGCAGGATCTTGGGGTGGTGGATCAGCTTGATCCTTGTTGCCTCGCCCTCGACCCCTGCCTCTGCCGCGCCCCCTCCCTCTGCCTCGGCCCTGTGGTTTGTCATCATCGCTGTGTTCATCTTTGAAGTCCCGATCTGGATCTTCATCATCAGCAGTTGCTGCTTCTCTTGCAGCTTTCTTCATAGCTCGTTGGGCTTCCACCAAATCCAAGTTGTTGTCACTGATCTTTTTCTCGATAGCTGCGCAAGCTTCCAGGGCCTGGCCCATGAGAGAATCTGCCGGTGGATCCGGAATCTCTGCCAGGGGCTTTGTATCCTGCGACTGTGACTATGCGGAATTTAAATACATAACGTACCACATGCACACATACAAAATATGTTTCGATTGCACGGCACGCATGGCATGTGATAAAATGCATTTGCACACCAGCTCCGATCGTGCAAAATGTGCACGAGCATTTGCTTGATCGATGTTTGCAATATTTGCCTTGTACCATGTGCATGCATGTAAATGCATATTGATGCTGTGCTTGACTCAAACAAAAGTGGTGCCGATCAACATGGTCCTTGAAGGTCCCTTTGACCTGTAGCTTCTCATCAAGCTCGCCATCGGGAGGCACATCCACAGCAGCATGTGGCTCGGATGCACTGTGCTGGTCAGGGGCGGGAATCTCAGGCTCAGGACTGGGCTCAGGGTCAATGTGACATGTCACTGGTTCAACAACGCTATCCTCATCTGACATGTGTTCTTCTTCACCACCCTCCAAACCATCTCCAAATGTGTCCTCAATTTGGGGCTCGAGAGGAGCAGGCGGAGCTGGACCCTGAGAATCCTGAACTTGTGTTTCCTGCACGCAAACATAAAATCGAGACATCCTGTAGCGTGATAAAGCACTACACCAGTATATGCATGCACACATCTTGGGATGATAATTAGCACAATCACAAAAATGCATGATTTCCCAATTCCATTGGTCCATAACAGCCTGATCATCTGGAGATTGCATGGAAGTGCTCGAACGCTTTCTAGAGGTAATCTTTTTCCCATCATCGTTCAGGAGGCCAAGTTCCTGCAACATGCACATGCACGTATTCAATCGGCGCACATCACAAAAAACTCGTCATTCGGATTTATACTAGTGACACTATAGTACTGATTGCCGCATGAAGTACACGATATAGGCCATGATCGGTCTCTCGCTCCTCCAACCGAATCCTCACTAATGTCTTCATGGCTTCCATGCGAGGATGAGACTTCCTGGAAGCACCCATGCATACATACGCGTATTGCATGCAGCATTTGTTGTTAAATCATCATGATTTTATGGGCCCAGAGAAAAACTGTGTAACCTGCCTGCACTTTTGGGTGCGATTGAACCGGTTCAGCACGTAAGAACCAAGTGCCCGGTGCAGGCCACCTTCGATCAACGCCCATGCCTGGTGCAAAGAGACGCAGGCTGTGAAAGTGTGCATGTCGCCATGTCCTTCCGCACCTGGTGTTCTGCGGTGGTCTCGAAGCTGTTCCACTTCCTCTCCATCGACATCTCACAAAGAACAGCCTGCAGGTTCATCAGTACAGTGCACGCTCATGTTTACTCTCGATTGATGTTTTTTTTCAGTGCAGTTGATCAATCTAGTTGAATCGATTTTTGCCCATATTAGAACCGATTCACTGGCGGGCCTCCACTTCTTTTTGCAGGGGGGAGGTCGCCAATAAAGTGTGCTAAATACCGAGATGTGAATTCAAAATTCACCTTCTTCTCTGCCTGACGACGCATCAGATATAGATGGAATACATGCATGCATGGGTGCACACATGCATGGTCAATTCACTTCAACAATCTTCAACACTTGCATGCATCTCCCGTCATGTGTGCCCATGGCCCATACAGTCCTCCACTTCGGAAATATGTTTTGAGTTGACATCGACAATGCTGAAGGCCTGGCAAGCTGGTGACGTGAGATATCGACCGATGCATCCAAGGCCACTTGGCTTCAAAACAGTTTCGCATTGAATGCAACGAAGGCGTATGCATGCCAGACCGACACTTTTATTCTTTCCAGTCTTGTGTTTGATGTCCCTCTTCCTTTTTTTCACAAAGTCATCCGTGACGTACTCTTCATAGAACGCCTGCAAAATTCGATGGCAATGCAATGTATGTTTTTAAAAGATCAGAGTCAGCGAATGACACAATGGCCGAACTTTAGAGTGACCAAGCCTTCAACAGCGACAGCCGGTCCGAGGACATGTGGCCCGCGCAGATCGCTGCCCAAAAAAAAATTGCTGCGGGTTCAAAGGTCAGGGGCAGGATCAGTGCAAAACCGTTAGCATTGGAGGCCAAAGCAAGACCACATGCTGCCAGGGTCGGTCCAGCCTGAAGATTCAGAATCAGATGCAGGAGTAGATGATGAATCATCTGCTGCTGAAGCAAGACCTGGGAACCGGCCACCCCAGTAGATCGACCTACTTTTTTAAACATAAAATGGATCAGATCGAACTACTTCACATTCATCGGCTAGGCCGCATACCCCTCAGCAGAAGTGCTTTCCGCATAGCATGGCTCTCCCAAAGAAGCGGAAAGGATGCGAAAGAAAGATCGTGTTTGCAAATTCCTGATTCCAGAGCGTTCATTGATTCAGATAATATATTGAAAAAAACATGCTTTACCCGCTTTCCCAGCACCATGTGGTGCTACATTGGGCCGCAGATGGCCACATGTGTCAACTCGACAACCTGATCGTGGCGCCGTGTATCGAAGGGCATCGAAGGGTATCGACAGGGGAATGCTTATGAGTGGTTCATGAGTGGTTCACAGCAATCTTATAGTCTTTCGAAAAGACCATTGTTTTCATAGTCTTTGAAACCTAGGGATAATATTACATAGTAATTACTACTATTTTTTGAATATAGGGCATTTGCAACCTGACACGGAACCATCATCATCCGCTGGGCCCTGGTCATGCAATACAGTATATAGATGGACCAATGGTTGACCAATAAATATGAATCACCCCCTGCAAGATTCTTTCTATCCAGCAAGCGTGGCCCCTGAATTTCAATCGTGCAGTAGCCTGTGATTTTTACACGTGCAGGGTTTGATTGATGTTGTTTTCTCTACCTAACCTCCCGCTGAGGCCACTGACATTGACATCGGGGGCGTGCAATGAAGCTAAGGGTTTGAATGCTTCATCCGCCTGTGGTAGGTTTGGGGTCGCGGTGAGGCATACTTCCCTCCAACATCCTAAAACAAGCAGTTCGTTCCAGGAACTGAGGGTTCAGCGATGTTAAACTATGTTTGTATCAGATGAGAACGGTGACGATTTATCACGTAAGCTTGCTTCAGCTAGCTGCCAGCTGGAGTTACTCTTGCTTTAGCATGTTATTGGCTGGGGGATGGAATCGGCTACCCAATGAGTTATCCACTGCTAGATCCCCCCTGGGCGGGTTCAACTCCCCTCTTGGATGTGTCAGATTTTGAGCATAATAGTTCTGATAGCATCCGTTTGGGGGCCATTATGTTTCACATCATGCCTTGCATCCCCATGCGGTTTAAGGCCATGTCGTGATTAGATGCAGCTAGCTTTCGTCGCCAACCCCCGGCCTCAAGTCCATGCCACTTCTATTCATATGTTGGGAAGAGCCTTCGGAAATGGCACTTATTCTGCTGTATTTTAACTGTTAGTGTTCAACAACCCCCTCTCCTCAGCTTTTCATTCACCAAGGATGGACAAGCATACGAGCCCTTCAGGTAGATTAGTACTTTAGTCCGCGCTTATCACACCTTCGACTTGAACCAAGCAGCCTGAGCGCCAGGATGGCTTCAAGGAGATCGTTCTCAAGGAGGTGCCTGCTAGTGTGGCTGACATTGGCCACTGCTGTCAACAAGCAACTGAAAATTTTGTTGAAAATTGTATTGAACTGAGAAGCATGTTTATTCTGAGATGGTGGGTTTGTTTGCTCACTCGGCACTCTTGGCCACGACCCCGAGAATTGTTGCAACTCTCTGCGAGTCCTGATCAGCTGAGCACTCCAAAGATTGATAAAGATTGATCAGGAAGTATATAACTCTCTAACGTTGCTTCTTTTAGGCATTCATTTCGGTTTTCCTGTTGCGCGACTTGCAACTACTACCCGTTGCTGCAATTGCTGCCACTTGAGACTTGGGACATGGTCCGAGGGTGCCAAGTCTACTGGCTCACAGCCTTTCGGATCAGGATCCCCGAGAGATGGAGCACTTTGTCGCCCGGGTGGCGCAGGAGGGGGGTCACCCGAATTCATTGGAAACACAGGTGGCATACCACCTGGTCCGTAGCCATTGGTGTCGCCAAAAGACAGGTGGCATACCGCCTTGTAGTGTGGCACCGGCACCTTCAGACGCCGAAACAGCTGTTTTGGGATGTTTTGGAGTGTGCCCGCCCTGTGGTGCCTGTTTGACTTTGAACAATGTCCTTCCATGCCCATCCCAGGACCTTGGGACTGTTGCATCCTCGTCCAGCACGCTGCCGGAGTTGACCATGGGTGCTTTGGCAGGAGGGACCAGGCCTATATGGGCCCATGGTCACCAGGTAGATGTTCCCCGTTCAAACAAATTGAATGTTGACAAAAAGCTTGGCAGCCCGGAAGAAAAGATGCAGAGGAGTAAAAAAACTATAATATATATATATATATACAGTACAGTATATATATATATATGTGTGAATGCATGATGAATCAGAATGTCCCAATTGCATTGCTACATTCAATAATTTAATATGTCCCCAGAATTCTCAGATCATTGAATGCCTCCCACGGAAGCACTGGTTACTTTTTCCCATCAGAGCCGATCCTTTGCGACCTATGAGGTGCCCTTTCGTTGCGAGAGATGCGACAGCAAATGATCGAGCGAGGTCGGGGCCCAACCAGCGGAAACAACGGCCGTTCCAACCACAACAGGACGCACCACACTCCCGGGGTATGTTTCAGAATGCACCAAGCTGCCAGTGGTGGGGAATCTACTGATCTCAGAACACACCATAGACGCATGAACAAGAGTTTTAGAGTAGATTGGACAGGCCCAGCTTGATCGCTTCTTCGAGCCTTCAGGGTGCATGTTCACTGCCCGTTTTCGGAGTTTGGCCACGTCGTGTCGAGTTTCATTTTAGTATCACATCGCCCCACTGGATTCCAGTCCAATTATGATCACTAACTCACCCTACGTTTCACCTCGCTTTACACTGGAATTCTGGGTAGGACCCGGTAGGAGCTTGTCCTTGAAGAGCTGTCCATAGCTTTGGTGACTTTTTGCATGTTTAGAACCATTCCAGATCACCTTTAGCAGATCAGGTTTGTTGAGCAAAACCCAACGGGTGGAACGTCACTTTGGCCTAACAGGTCGCATCCACAACGCTTCAACTGAGGTTTGGTGGAGCCTCAGAAGCCGAGTCTCACGAAGCGCGGCCGGGAAAAGGCCATGCTGTGCCGCTTTGGCTTGGCTTTGCAGCAGTAGATTGGAACGGTGTTGGGGCAGTAGCAACAAGAATGTAGTCGTATATGGTCGTTGTCGTCGTGAGTCGTGTGGTGGTAGTAGATAAAAGGTAGTCATCGGCATGGCCGTCGTCGTCACAGAGCGGGGACAGCAGCAGCAGCAGCAGGTGTTTGGTTCCTGTCGCTGTTGATGTTGTTTTCATGTGATTGTCGTGAAATGAGGATTTGCTACGATATGCTGATGTTTTGAGACTCTGTGTTTTATATTTATACTGTAATTTGTTTTTGCAGTGGGCAACCAAATTGTCCAAGCCTATCAGGGTGTTTGCTTTTTGAGAAAAGATCGCTTGGCCTCAGCCACATTGCATTGGGGAGCGCAACCTAGGATCCAGTCTAGAATCCATAAGTGACGATGTACATACAATCATGTCCGCTGCTCACCAAATTGTGAAAGTTGAGGCAAATAGTCCGTGCAGGGTCTTTTAGACACAAACCAGAACCGAAGCTACTGCAAGGTGTCAATCCTCAGAATCCTGATTCAATCCATGTTCGCCTTTCTTCCAGGTAAATGCGATCGCACACGGGGGGTGGCCGGGAGTGTTTTCGGAAGATCGACGGCGCAGTCAGACAGAAAGCGCCTGCGCCGAATCCAGATCGACATGTGAAGCCCGAGAAATTCAACGAAGCCATGCAATGGACTGCAATGGATCATGTAATATAACCAGTCAAGCACGCGATGGGACTCGCGATGGGCCCAGCTGACAAGTGGTTTTGGTTGCAGGGTTCGCGCCGAAAGTGCCGGATCGTGGGGTGAAGACTGCTGAATATTTTGTTGCAAGTTGTTTGTGAACCACCTAGCTTGGCTTTCGAGGTTGGATGGCCAGAGGTTTCTAGGGGCTTCCAAGCTTTTTTCTCGGTGACAGTGCTGGACCAAGGCCACTACACCATGACAACGTTTCTGAAGTTTTTGTGGCCTGATGGCACTTATGTATCCACACATCCACGGGAGATGGCGGGAGCAAACTTGGGATTTGTATGGGTTTGTAAAGTGGGATTCCAGAGTCTGGGTAGAACTGAGAACCTCAGCGAGGTTGTGAGTAGAAGCCTGACAGGTTCGGTGGAGGACAGATGATGTTGGTCATGTTCCCACAGTTTCGCTGTACCAACATGTGCCAACAGGTTTTTAGGTGTGATGCTTCTGTTTCTCCAGCTGCTAAGCCTTCAATGTGTACCTCCGAAGGGCAAAAATACAAGGGTGGAAGGCCAGTGCAGGGGTGGCGTTGGAACATGTTGGAAGAGTAGCAAATACAGTAGCTACTAGTTAGTAGCGATGCCCTTATAGTAGTAGCAATGCCAGGAGATACTAGTAGCTTCTTGTCACTGCAAAACCCACTGCCATGATGTCGCTAGATGTCTCGATCGCTGGCCAGGCTCCACACGGGAGGCTTCGCTGCGAAGGAGAGTCACCTTTCGGCCTTTGCACCTTGGACGGTGGAGAAACAGAACCGTAGAGATAGGATGTAGAAGGAATACGCCCACTGGAGAGGACCAAAAGGAGCCTGAACACCCCCCTGCTTTGTACATTTTTTATGGAACATGGTCTTCCACGGGTTTGTTTTCCGTTGTCCACGTTAGTTTTTGAGAGAGGGTGCGAGGGGGTAAGGAGTAGCCACAGTGTTTCCACCGAGCTTCTGGAAGTGGTGTTAGAGATGTACAATCATGCTCAAGTATAGATAGAAGTTGGGATGTCCAATTCTATCACCATTGGCTCAAAGGGTGTATGCTGGCGTGTTTCAGGCGGCGGCGTCCAGTCGCTTGCCCAACTTGCTGCAACTGCTGGAGAAGCTTCCTGAAGAGGTTTGGGTGAAGAAGGAGCGGACGCCAGAGCAAGCATTTCAGGCGTTGGACTCAGGAAAACACTTCTCTAAACCAAACACCGGCACCTGACAAACACTGGCCAAACGGGAGCAGTTAAACTGCTGAGCCACGGCCAGCGGTGTTGGGTCGTGCTCACGTCGTGCCCCGGTCGTGACGGTGGTCGTTCACCGTCGTTTCCGGTCGTGCCCCAACTGCGGGTCCAGCAGTGCTATCGTCCTTCCTCAGCGTGTCCCTGTGGGACGGCTGCGTTGTAGCCAGACGCTGCCGAGAGAGAGAGAGAGAGAGTCGCCCTCCAAGGACTTGCTGGCTGTGAGTGATGTGGAACACACAGCAAATGCGTTGCACTTGCTCGTCAGGACACGTGGCTTCCGCATTGGCAGAATATGGTTAAAAGATTTTAGAGGCTTTTTTGTTTTCCATCAACATACTGTGCATACAATACAGTGTACCAAAAAAAGAATATATATATATATCATGCGGAATTCCAATTCTTGGAGCAAGCTCTCCAGGCCCTCTCTTTATGATCGTGGTGCTTTGCAGTTCTTTAGAGATCGAGTATGTGTTTGTATGTGTTCATCTTGCTCATCATGGCAGTTTGTTTTCCTAGATGCTGCACATGCACATCGTCAAACAGAACAGTCCTCTTACATCCCTTTTGTGTTCCGTGCCTGCCTAAGCAGGAACCCTCCATTGAAGTGACAGATTACAAACAATCAACCAAGTCGTAAACGCCATGTACATGTCAACAGCACTTGTTTGTGCCAGGAGGGTTTTGGAGGAGGACTTGGCTGTCCAACCCAAGTAGGGCACTTGGCACTGCTCGGCAGGGGCCAGATCGGGCGAGGGTGTTGGAGGGTCGGGAAGGCCAAGGGGATCCAAAGGGGTCGGGGATCCAAGTGTCGCATGTTTGTTTGTTTGTTCTCCATGGTGTCGGTGAGATAAATTTGATTTTACACCATTTCCACCAGTCCTGTTTTTTGGAGAGGTTGGGTGGAACGTTGCAATTTGCATTTTAGTATGATTTTTGACCACTGGGGAGTCCAGCCATGTATGCAATGAGGTGGTTGAAAAGAAATGTAAGGGTACATGTTAGAATGCACTGAAGGACGGCAAAGAAATGCAAGAATGCATAGCAGATGGGCACTTGCCATGTTCATCTTTTTTCAACCTGCCACCCCACTCCCAAATGCAAACAGCGGTTCGTGAATGACGACGCAATGCCCCCGCAATCGTCACCGTCTTAATCACTGAGGTCAGTCTCCACCACGGAGGTTCACGCCTTGGCCAAGGAGATGGCCAATGGGCTTCGCAATGGACAGTGGCCACAAGGAGACGCAGAGCTTGGAGCGGTTGGGATCGGTCATCACTTGGAGCTTGCGAGCTTGCAACCATTCGTGTCTAGCTACAGCTACAGGCTTGGACTTTAAAGGGACCTCAACACTTGAAGGTTCATAATATATAGTTCATAGTGTTCATGTTCTAACTTCATCTCCTCAAATTGAAGCAGAACGTCAACAGGCAGTCCCAAAACTAGAGTCCTATACTGCTCAGGGCTAGTGACATAGGCATAGGGGTTGTGGGACACAGCGTTTAAGTCATAGTCAGTTGTGGGCCAAATGCAGGAGCTGTGCTGTGGACGTTCTGTGAGTATATACACTACTCCGAAAAAATATAACAAAATACCGTGCCCAAAGAGATGATCATATGACTGTTTCAAGCTTCATGACTGTTTCGTGCGCTCCCTAAGACTACTCCCACTGCCTGAGCTATGTCATATAGTTTCTTGCCACGCAAGTTCTTCTCAAACAGACCTATGGCTTATTATAGCTTTTTACCATGGGGCCATTTGGCGGTCCATAAAGTTCTAAACTCTAACATAGGGAGTAGGAACCTTGAACTCATGACAGGTTGTCGCCCTGGAATTGAGGTAAACGCTTTCCTATCTCACCCCCTAGTTGCCACATGCTATGTTGGTGGCATACTCCTTAGGTCATGTGCGGTTTAATGTCAAAAACCTCAAACTATGCAATCTCAAACATTTACGTGACAACATAAATGTGTGTGTGCCAGGCTCATTTCTGTATGTTTTGACCTGATGAGATAGGAGCTGTGGCATATAGGCTCTTTCCTGATGATATAGGAGCTTTTTTCCAACCATCATTTCACAGCTCTTATCTCATTTCCAAATTGTCCAAGAGCATATACTTCGCTAGACCAGAGATCGTGCTGTTGGTCATTTAAACTGGAATATTGTGTGTTTGTGCCGGGGGGGCCTCCGGTTTCTAGCTCCATGCTGCAACACCCATGGAGCTTGCGCCCACCGGTTTCGAAAGCCACGAAAGCCACAGGAAAGCTTTGGCAGCATTTCCTGATGGAGGTGAGGTGATTGTGTTGTTTGTACTTTGGATATGGTGGACCCCCGACCCTTTTTTTACAATGTTGGGTTCGTGGTGACCATCAACAAGAGAGGCATTGAACATTTTGGGCAAGCTCTTTTTGCAGCCGAGCAGAGGGATGCTTGCCGCCAATAGGCTGCCCATTCTATGTATGTACGAATCTGAAGAAAAAGCCTGGAACATGGTGGAGGCCATCTCTCCAATTCTATGCTTGTTGAATGGGTTCTCCCGAAACGAGGGATTTGGCAGGTTTGCGCCTACAAAGTATCACTGCATGACGGCCCTGTGATGAACAGATGCTGCTATCCAACTCAGCTGAGGCCCTGACCAAGGCCATGCTCCCGACTAAATACATTTGTAGAGAAATGTTCTCGTCTTTGCCGGCATGTAACGACCATTGCATGCAAACTCGTGAAGCACGCATATCGAAATGCAAATATGACACATGCATATATTGAGAAACACTCTATGTGGATATTCATGTATGCTGTACATATATTTGGACCGTCCATATGGGTCACCCATGGACTACCCTGAAGTACTTGTGGGCCTCCATTTCCCTCATATGATCTCCAAAATACGAACATAACATGTATATGATATACTGTGTAATATATATATATATGTATGTGCATATTGTATCGTCTTCCCAACACTTTTCTTTTGGCTGGGGAATCTTAAAACTTCTTTTCTAGGGCCATCTATCTATGACTCCATTCCTTGGAGCCCCTGGCCGCCAGGTCAAGCAGCACTGCCTGCCGTCGAGCAGGGCTGCGGCAGCGGACTCACGACAGGCAGCGGGTGGTAAGAATTTGTGTGGCAGGCCCTTCTTGTTTTCACTTCTTCAGCTGTTGGTCTTGCTGGAATGGCACTGAATTGGTCTGGATGGACATCTGGTCCCGTTGCGACTTCCAGCTACGGGACCATCATGTCCTTCCACTCCTCAGGAAAACTCTTTGCTCCGCGGTGGAGACACGAGAACACAAGAAAACCCACACAACTTCCGCGAAAACATCTGTGGCTGGCCCCACAAATACTCGAAGTGTGCCATCATTATTTTGCTTCCATTTTCTGAGTGTTCCGACAGCTGATGCGCTTGCATGTTTGGAGCTGAAACTAATATCAGTTGGCGTGGTGCAGCTGGGTGGTGGTTGGAAGACATTGTAAGGTTCAGGCATTTTCAGGTTGGTAGTTGATGCAGAGGAGCATGTAACTGATTCAAGAGGAGCACGCGACATCCTCAGAAATAGGAAGGGATATGAAGGGATGACTTTCTATCGCTATGCCAGGATCTAAGGACCTAGAGACTATATAGTGACTAGGTCTCATTTCTGAGCAAATTATAGTTATATTGAAGACTAGTAGCGATGCACTTGCTACCAGTAGCTTCTAGCTACTAGTAGCGATGCCCTTTACTACTAGCGATGCACCTTGCTACTGGTACATAGAATCACGCGGTCGAATCTGGAACTCAGGGAAGTGAGGATGAAGCTCCAGATGAGGCCCGCCCCTGCAACAGGTTCTTTGGCAGACGGTGTTTGTTGCACGTTTTGATCTATGCATGCATCATGTGGCCAAAAACTGTCCCAAGATCATTGTCCAACATGTAAATAGCTGGTCCGCTGGCTGCCAAAACCCTTACCGAGTTGGTTTGCACACTTCGCATTCTCCTTTCTTTGTTCTTTCTGTCAAGAGTGGTGAGACCGGTTTAATGTGTCATGCATGAAGGCAAGGTTTCTCCTACGCAAGATTCAGAAGTGAAATATGTTTTTTGGCTTTTGTTGGGCGGTCAGCTGGTTTCGTTTAACAGTGAACCTGTATGTGGGGGGTTCGCGTTTTCAACATTTTTCAACCGCACGTTGGAGAAGGAAATGCTCCCTCATGGGCTGATGTTGACCATAACTTGTGGCACTCCAGGAGGAAGCTGAACAACCGACACTTGCCACTGCGGTGTCCTTTCGAAGTGCCACTGAGTTTGCAGAAATGTCAGCTTGCAGCCTAAACGAGCCACTAAAAATGTATATATTGGACATCGTGCCACTATCTATTTGGGGCCCACGTTTCTATAGGTGAGTGCAGACAGATGCTGATGTTCGAACGGTGAGTCCAGACGATTGGAAGAGCGCTCCGCTGGACGAGATGAGGATGGGGCGCTGGACGAGATTGTCGGCAAGACAGAGCCACTGTCACAGGACCCCGCAGCGAACTGTCATTGTCAGCATTCGCTGCTGACATGAAACTTGGTTATACGATGCGAACTAACTGCAATTGTTGTTGGATTGTCCTTCTCATGTGAACTTCCCATGGCCCATCACTTCTTTCCTGGCGGTTGCCAGGTCTCGGGCAAGGTAACAAGAGGCGATCTCTATATCAGCTACTGATGTATTTTCTATCGGCAGTTGTGTTTCAAGTTTCTATTCAACATCGTCCATGTTTTACCCATCAATATACAATATAGTGCACCTACTTGTGCACATGTCAGCTCCAACGTTCGGGCCTGGTCGAGACCCCAATTGTCCTGGCAGCAGGATTGACTACTGTTGGAGACAATGTGTCAGGTCCAAATCGGAGATTCGATCGCTGCAGGACGGCTTTTCAGTGGTGCACTCGCTCCAGTCGCATGCAGCCATGGCTGCATTTTTGAAGCGGATCTTGCTGGATGAGCGGGGGGAGGTCAACGACCAAGCAGGCAGCGACGGATGGCAGCAACTGCGCATCAGGTGGCAGAAGTGTTATATAATTATATATATATATATATCTGTCTGTATGTGTGGCGAATAGTTTTTCTGAGAACAGCAGAGATTGGGCCTCCTAGTGTTGCATTGGCCTTGCCCTGGGAGCGCCTTTGGGATCCTTTGGGACCATCTCTAGTGTCGTATCGCCGGCGCTCGGGAGTGGTCCCAAACAGTGCAGCGAGAGTCGACGTGGCACCACTAGTCAACCAGACCACGACGTGGACCACAAGCACTTCGCTGATCTCTTCGCTGTTTTTCGGCATTTGTTAAGAACATGTGAGACTCGAAAAACGGAGCAGGCCCCTCCGACCGGACTCCGACTGTGGGGTGTGTTGAATTTTCTCCAATTTCTACCCTCCAAAGAGATCCGGGTACCGCTGCCTCATGGGGGACACAGGCAGAGCGGATGGTTCGGAGTTCGGACCCATGGTGTGCCTGTCAGGAACCGAAAACTATTTGTTTTGCCCCACGAAAAAGGATGACTTGCCAACAAAAGGTTGCACCAGGCCACAATTCTTCACATCATGTGGTGATGGATTAGTGGTCTAGCTTCGCAGACATGGCTCGGTACAGTATATATCCCTTTAGTCACTGGCTATGGAGGCTTCGCGGAGTTCGTGCAAAGCTGCGTGGACGATCCACCTTCCTTCACTAGCCTGCAGCAGGAGTGCCAAGCTCACGGAGGTTCTTCGCCATGGTGCGCGTTTTGAGCTAGATCAAGAAGTGCAAAGAGTTCTCTGAAGTTCAGAGACTCACGGTTACGGTTGGACAACAAATATCAAAAAATCTTCCAACCTTTTGGACGACAAACAGGTTCCAACCTTGGGTTCTCCCCACGAAAGGCGTGGGGGGAACCTTCACAGCAGCCAACACTCGAAGCTACCGATACCGGAGGAGATCCTCCGGGGTCCAAGCTGGGCAGTCTTCCGGCCGGGCAGCCCAGGGCGGCGCTACACCGGAGGTGTCTTGTTTGTTCGGGGACGGCGAGTCCGCGAGGCATCGAGCGCAAGACATCGAGATGCAATTGGGTTGAATTAGAGGGGGTGGATGGGGGGTGGCAAATAGGTGCAGCTTCTACACCAAGGGTAGGATTTTTGAAGGATTTCCGTAGAGAGAGTTCCTGCACCCAACTCAACGTGGAACCAAGCAAGAAGAAAGCCGCAAGACCTACCCCCACCGAAGTTCACGTTTGAAAGGAGAAACAGCCAGGCATCACGCTGGCCATTAAGGAGTGCAAATCACAGGTGCAAGCGATCGGGGTTTAGTACAGTATGGTTTAGTCACAAGGCTCAGATTGAACCCACCCATGTGCAGTTTGTCAGTTATGATGTATGACACATGGCCAAGTCGGCCATGTGTGAACGCACGAGAAAGTTCGTCATTCAAAAATTGAGTACTTCACGCACCAAATGATTCACTCCAGACCCCCACAAGCTTCAATATGTGCAAGATCTTTACAATCTGTACAGCATCACTCTTTGCAAGGAAGATGCATGGCAAGCTCTATGTGGACCGCTTCTTTGATGGAACCGCCCGAGTTTTCTCCGTGAGGCCGGTGGACCGGTCATGGATGGGCGTTCTACCACAACTGACACATGTTCAAGTCAAAGTGAGCCCTAAAAGTTGTCCATTTGTTTGTGTAGTTTGATGTGTTTTGCTCAGTGTTTTGCTTCTTGTGCTCACTGAAAAAATAATCGGTGTGTTTCTCTTGTCGAAGACATCTTCCCGCCATGTCATGTTGCAACGAAAGAACACCTTAGACAGCCTTGGAGGGTGGGGACTCGCAGCATACACTCACCTCTTTCTCGTGCCGACAGCGTCAGGGATCAGCTCTTGTCGCAGGGCACTGACAAAGGCTCCTCCGTGCACTTTGATTGCCACCATGACTGCATGTAAGCGCCGAGAAGTGCTGGTACTGTACCATTTCATTTGTGATGATAGGGGAGGTGGTGAATCAACCGTATGAAAAGAAGTTTGATACAATGTGAATCAGTGAAACATCTCAACATCTCTATCTCGAATCTAGAGGTGTGCCTTTTGCTTGTGTTTCCGGCGTGGCTTCCACCCAAAGCAAGACTCCAGTCTGCCATCCCATACTTTTTCAATGGCAGGCTTGCGTTTTTGGGATTCTTTGCATGCCTATGCGTTTTAGTTTTCAGAAATGCTTTGGCTTTGCTTATGCAAATGAAACTGTTGTTTTTCCGGTAGTCTTCTTGCTTTTGGGTAATTAATTGCTTCCTTTCCTTGCTTTCGCCTGCTGGACCACCAGTACACGACGACGACGAAGCAAAGTGGAGGGAGCCTGCATCCCGAAAGCAAAAGCACGTCAGCGAGCAAACCAATTGCAAGCAAAATGGGAAGGAAGCAAGGGAGGAAGGAAGATCGCTGTAGATCATGTTTCATGCGATCCCCATAAGATACATCAAGAGACCATATAAATAGACTTCACCCTCTTTCCGTTTACCCTTTACCCCAAGGAAATGAGCATTCTTCTTGGTTCTTTGTGAGCACCCCAGCCGTCCTCCCCCACCCCCCCAGCTTGTGCAAAGCTAACCCAGTAAGCTGAAACCAACCAAAACAAAGCACAAACCAGCAAGCAACCCGATTCCAAGCAGCGAGTTTTCCAAAGGCAAGGCAAAGCAAGAAGAAACCAAGTAAACAAGCAAGCAATGCGTTGGATAATTTTGTTGGCTCGCCCATTGTTGCGGAACGCAAACCTGTTTAGCTTCTTCAAAGTTGCCCCATTTGGAGATATGTTGAGAACATTCCCCTTAAAGACATATTTACTCTACTCCACCACCAAGGTTTGTGTGTGCAACTGCCCGCGGGATCAAAGGAGCCACACCCCAAAGGCTGCTGTAGGAGACCATGCGCTCAACGCTCACCACGCCCTCCTTTCATGTGCAATGATCCCCACGCTTTACCTATTAAGGATGTCCAACATTGATCATAAACCAGCTGTCCACCACAAGTTAACCAGTTTCTATGACGAAGTCGTTGCAGATCTTTGGCTGCACATGTTTGTTTCCTATACTGTAGATCCTTCTTGCTAAAACTGACATCAAACAGGAGTTGGTCAGTTGACCGCACTGCTAGTGTGAGGCACACGGAGACACTACAGACAAGGACAGAAAGAGACAGAGACAGACTGAGAGATGTGAACATATTCTACTGATTTCTGCTGTAAATTATATTGAAACATCAGAAAACAACAAAATTGTGGCTTTACATGGTTTTACTCTTGTGCATTTTGGCAAGTAAGCAGGTAAGTGCTAGGTCTAGAGCAGCCTGGCGGTGAGGATTCAGATGCAGAAAAGTGCAAACCATCGATTAGGTTCCAACAGATGGTTTTCAGATGTTTTCAGCAGATCTCAGGTTGGGATATCGATCTTCAGCTAGCGGGTGCTCAGATTTGCGTCGTGTCGGAGTTCCCAGGGGTTTTTGTCGTATTGGAGTTTGCAGCCATTCGTGGTGGGCATTGGTTGGTCCTAGAGGTGGTCCCACCCTACTAAAAGTAAACAGCGGCTCACGTTCTGGAGGTTCATTTCGAGTGCCTAAATGTATATAAATCGTTCAGGGGATGGCCATGGCGCTTACCTAAAAATAACATGTGTCCATCAACCTCATTTGTGTTTTTGGCTTGGCACATGCTTTAGAAGTAGTTGTTTCATCAGACCAGGAGAGTCCGGATTCTTAAGAAAAAAGTTTGAATGGGACCACTTTGAACGTTGAAGCCGCTGAAGGCCAAGCTTGGACCGCGTTGCGTTGCACCACCGCGTTGCACTGCGGATTGAGGTTCCAAACCGCGGCTCACAGCCTGGGTTGTGACCACGTGACTGGTTCAGATGAGGAGATTTTTGCCGTGACCGTGGATCACATCCAGCAGAGCCCCCAGAGATCCAAAGGATGCCGAAGTATGTCGAAAGTCAAAGGTTTGGGATTCCGGTCATCCTGCAGGATGCTTGTAATGTTTTCCAAGATTCTCCACTTCCCATGGCTGCTGTCACCCAGAGATGGAAGTGGGTGAGTTAGTTTCCCTGCAGATTTGAAGAGCCTTTAAAGAAGTTGATCCAAGGGATGTCCAGTGGCCCTCCAATGTCTCAACATGTTTGGCCGCTCGTCGACAGCCCCCCACTCGGTGCCGGCTATCTCTCAGCCAGGCTGCGCAAGAAATCAGCCGAGCGGAAGACCAAGTTCATTGTGCATCACTTTCAGAAGCTGGTCGGCTCATAGAACCCGATTGCTGATGTGTATAGGTGAAGGTGCAGGTGTAGCGCTGTTTGCGTGTTTTAGCATGTGTCAAGACTCAATCCACTGGAAAGCTTGAGATCATGAAACTTTGGATTTTAAACACATTATATAAGCCATTTCCACTTTGATGTGGGAAGCTTTCCCATAGCTGATGTCCTAACACAGGTCCTTCAATACATAGCCCAAAACCCCAGAAGATCCGAGGATTGACAACATGCGTGAAGCAGACCGGTCGCGGCCAATCATCATTTGCCCCGAGGCATCTCAGGGATTTGCGTTCTGGGTTGCTGCGTCCTGGGTTGCCACGTTCAGCTGTTTGAAATGGAGTTCAGACCACCTGCCAAGACCCACACGACCTGAGTCGTTCAAAGTACCTCAAATTGGAAGAGCTTCTCAAATGTTAGGTTTCTTGTGGTTTCTTGTTCGCTGTGGTCGCGGCTTGTCCTGACAGATGACCGGCACACTCGCTCACCCTCACCCGCCTTCAGCCTGCGTTCAGGACAGTGGCTACTACAGCGATCGGCGCGAGACATTGAAGAACAAGAAGAACCAAGAGGCAAGGTGTTTGTGGAAGGCTGCAGTTGTTCAACAGATGTTCAGGATTTGGTTTGAGCACACCAGTCAGAGAAAGAGACCATCCTTTGATTTTCCGCTTATATCCCTAGAGGTGCTACACTACACTAGTTCTACAAACTGCGAGATACTGCGATCCTTTTTCAGGGCCCCGCATGGCATATCTAAGACAGCAACAAAAGCATAATCTAAGGCGAGGCCCGCTTGGATTTTGGATGGGTTTGTTTACAGAACAGGGGACCACCAGAGTGCGTATTTTATGTGTTTTTGCTGCCTACTTCCATCTATGTGCTATAAACTTCCCACTGTGGCCTGCATTCATGCTATGTGTTTGTGAAAGCTGCCTCAATGCCCTTTGCACTGGAAAACAAACACAAACAGTCTCGAGAAAATATAGATAAAACCAATAACAACCTAGGAAAAGCCAAAAAACCTTGGGAAAACTTCCAAAAAAATACAAAACAAAACAAACAAACAAACAAAAACCAATTCTCAGAGACTCTTGCCTGAACCCGCCCCTTTCCTCAAGACTTCCCCAGAATTGTGTGTTTGATTCTTTTTTTTTGGTTTTCCCAAGTTTTTTGTTTTTTGATTTTCCTAGGTTGTTATTGGTTGGCTCAAGGTTTTTTGTTGTTTTGGTTTTTCTATTTAGGTCAATCTGTGTTTGGTTTTTCTATTTAGGTCAATCTGTGTTCTTACTATTTCGTTCAACCTTCAAGTATGTGAGCCTAAGTCTCACCTAAAGGCATATGTTCTTTGCTCTTACAATGAAAGCGTTTGAGCCCACCACTCCCTTTGTCCTTGTCGAAATCTCCATGTACAAGTCTGTGCATTAACTTCTGATTGGTATCAATGTGGTTGCCAATTGCATGTCCAATCAGCTTGATATGAAACTGTAATGATACCTTCCAATTTACATGAAATTGTTATGAATCTGCTTAAGCTGTAGTTCTAATTCAATGCTTGTTGCTTTTGCTTCGGCTTTGTAATTTCGAAGCCTCCGCGACTTGTGCATTTTGTAGCTCAAGCGTTTTACATCTTATTCTGGCGAACTTCTAATTTTTAATTCCAATTCCTTTCTAATTCAACTCTCATCTAAAATTAGAATTTTAGGTTACAGTATAGTTATAGTTCAATACAAGTTTAGTTGAAATTCGGTTTAAATTCAGTTCTATCTTAGCTCTAACTCCAATCCAATTTAATTCTACCTAATTCTATTCTAGCTCTAGTCTATTTAGTTTAAGAAAACACATGCTACAAAACCCCGTGTTTTACAGTATTTTTTTGCCCTGGGAGTGCTGGGAACAAGACTTAAACTCTGTTTTGAAGTAAATAGTTAGATTTTGTTTATTTACAGTAATCACTGGAAATAATATAGACATATTAAACTTGTTTTATGTACAAGCGTCTAATTCAAGAGCTTCCCTCTAAGACCCTAGATCTTTGTGGATGATCATTTCTACAATAAAAACATATAAAAGCTTTCATTTCAAAAGCTTTCCTCTGGATATCTGGAAATGATCATGTCAGTTTAAACATGCTATATATCAATAGATATACTTTTCTTTCAAGAGCTTTCATTTCATGAAAACACACATATATGGGATATCTACTTTCCCAGAGATCCAGAGGAAAACTTTGAAAATGCAAGCTCTTACCCGCAGAAATCTAGATAATGCTTTTAGTTTTTTAATTGTTTTTTAAAAGTGTTTGGTATCATTTGATGCTCAAGATATGCAAAGATGCTTGTTTTCACTCCAGGGCAGATACCACTCTACTCTAACATGGGGCCTGGGTTTTGCTTTTCCCAAACATTTAGGTAAATGCTTCAGTGGTAGCCCCTCTCCATATAAACACACACACACATATATATATAATCTGTTCCTGCTCTCTATATGAACAAATATATTATGTATTCCTGAATCAGGGTCAATTTATTGTTTTGGAAGCAGCAAGCAGTCATTCAGATGGTTTTGAACAAAATAATCAGGAAAGAAGCAGGCCATAAAAGTGTCTCTAGATCTCTGCTTATAACTATGTTCAGATTTGGAAACATTTCATATAGACGCGTTTATGTTACACAAGATTCTCTATAGATCTCTGCAGATAATCATTTTTAGATTTAAACAACTATATAGAAACCTTGTATGTTACTCACAGTCCCCCGCTCTCTTTGTTTAGCATTGACCCATCTCTTTCTGCATGGCAAGCCAGACCCATGTTAGTCTTTTAGGGGCTGGCTAGTGGAGGCTCATTCGTTTTAAAAGTCTTGCGCTTTGCCACGGGTCAGTGATCAGTGCCGGTCCTTTTCCGGTTTAGCTCAAGCCACATTTGCCGAAGACGCGGCACTGCCGCGGCCGACATGCTTCCAGGGCGCTTCGTGCTACGAAGTGGCTTGGCCAAGGAGTTGAGTGCCAGGAAGCGAACGCCATCGCTTCGGCCGAGCTTCGCTTCGGCCGGCGTGCGGCTTCCCAGCACTGTCAATCGTGTGGCTGACAGCTGTCCAAAGGCACTTCCAACGCAGTCCTTCTCTTCCACAGCTGTTCCTGATGAAGAGCATGTGGAGCCTCCAAGCAGGGAACAGTTGCACAGGTGGGCCAATGGCAAAACTAAAGCTGTGTTAAAGTTTTAGAGGCAGGCATGGTCTTTGGGTTAGCATCATCGAGCATCATGGTGGAACATTGCTACCCCGGGTGAACACGCCTCACAGAGGACCAACAAAACAGGTTCATGGGAATCTACCGGTGAAGATGCACGATCATCTATACATGCGTGGCTTATCGTGGCTTGTTTGTTTACGAGCCATTTAGACCTACAAACCGGGCATTGTTTTGCATAGTGTTTGGCATGGTGCTATGACCCTGCGGATGTTTGGCTGATCTTCATGATAGTAGGCACTGCAGTAGGTATTTTTGTGGCTATTGCTTATCTCAAGGGGAATCAAACGTTTTGCATTTGTTTGCACTCTTGCAGATATTCAACATGGTGGCTGACCTTTTGCTTTTTAACTGCTTTTTGATCAGGTGCATGCAGGCAGCAGCTGTGCCATTCATCGGGTTTGGATTTCTCGACAATTTCCTGATGATCGTTTTCGGCGATTTGATAGATAGCACTCTATGTGTAGCTTTAAACTTCAGCACCATGGCCGCCGCTGCCATCGGCAACACCATCAGCGATGGTGCTGGTATTTGGTCAGGACAGTGGCTAGAATCCAAGTGCAAAGCGCTCGGTTTCTGATCTGATGAAGCGACACACTTTTTTTGCTTGGACATTCCTCTTCATGTCCTTCACGTGTCCTCCAAGTCCTACTCCCATGCCCCCTGCACCCACTGGACCCAACACAAAACGGACATTTGTTGCGACTTGGTTTCATAACAAGAGCATCGCTACTAGTAACAAGTGCAACGCTATTACGTAGATATTAGTAGCAAGAAGCTAGTAGTAGCAGGGGCATCGCTACTAGTAACAAGTGCATCGCTATTTGTACCAAGACTAGTGACAAATGTGTGATCCATCGGCGAACTAAGTCGTCGCGAAGTCGAGTCGTCTCGTTCCTTCAGGTTTCGAGGAGCCCAAGTTGAGCGATGCTCAGCAAGAGCTGCCACAAACCATCCGTTGGCGTAACATCGGTCAGTTCATTGGCATCACCATCGGCTGTATCCTTGGATGCTGCCCTTTGTTTGTGATGGATCCCAATGCCGCCGTGCAGCAGCGCAAGGACAAGGAACGCGAAGAAGCCTTTGAGATTGTCATCAGCAAAGTGCAGGAGATTCTCCAGGCCGAAGCTGTTGGCCTCTTGATCCTCAACCGGGAGCGCAATGAGCTGGTGGCCTCTCATCAGTCTGCGAATTTGCCCCCAAACTTTCACTGGAACATCAACGAGGGCGTGATCGGCCATGTGGCCAAGTCCGGGAACTTCATCAACATCGCGGAGATTCGGGATGAAGCGCTCTATGATCCCAAGCTCCACGACGACTATCTCAACACAGGCATCTCGGTGCAAAGCATTTTGTGTATGCCAGTGTTTAAAGGTGGAGAGGTCTATGGTGTTCTCAATGTGACTAACAAGAAGGGCAACAATGGCACCTTCACACAGAAAGATGAAGATGTACTCTCTGCCATTTGCTCGCACATCTCTGTGGCTGTGGCGGATGACAAGCAAACCTTCAATGAGGTCATCGAACAGTGTGAGAAATCCATGCGCATCACCGGCTCCCCCGAGTTCACCTCCGCTGCGTCGCAGCGCATGGCCACGCTCTTCGTCCCGGCCCTGGAAGGCATCCGAACCGTGCTGGGCGCGGAGGCCACAGCACTGATGCTTTTGGACCAAGAGACGCAGGAGTTGTTCTCAGAGGTCATTGATGGGCCATTGCCACACCACAGAACACCTGTAGGTGTCGGTGTGGCCGGAGAGGCAGTCCAGGTAGGCCATGTGATGAATGTGGAAATGCAGGACCAACAATCTGGCTGGTTTCAGGAGCGGCACAAGAACTACCAGGGGAGTGGGATGGTCGTGCGTTCCGAGTTAGTGGTGCCTTTGTTCGACACATCGCGTAAATGCCTTGGTGCCATCAAGTGTATCAACAAACAGGAAGGCTCCAAGTTTAGTCAAGAGGATGTCGACTATGCGACAGAGGTGGCTCATCATATTGGGATGATGCTGGAAGGTCCTGATGCAGGGTTGCGGAGGGTCTTGGCACTGACACGGCACAAAATGCAATCCAAAGCAGCCATGCAGGCCGCGGACCTCGATCGTGGTGCAGTGATGTGCAACTTGATCAAGGCCGAGAATCTTCCAAGCAGATTAGATCCAGGTCAAAAGAAAGGAAAAGTCATTGATCCTTACATTACCTTCAGCATTGATCGTGGCAACCCTCTCAAGCAGGAGCCAGGAGTTGAGCAACGCGTGATGCGGAGCCGAAACAAAGACCGAAAGGCGGCCGTCCGTCGGTTTGCCAAATCGTTGACTGTCTTAGAGGATTCCAATCCCATGTGGAACGAGTCAATCGCATTGGCCTTCCCCAAGAAGTTTGAAGACGTACCAATTGAGGAGCTTTGGGTTCATGTCCTTTTATGGGACTATGACTCATTGTCCAGTGACGACCTTGTGGCGCATGCTGCCTTTCCCTTGTCGGAGATCCGAGCGGGGCGCATGAAAGACGTGGCTGCGCACCGCTTGCATCCATTGCCAGGCATTGATCAGGACTTTTCGAGCTCGAAGCTTTGGGTCTCCTTCGATCCTTGCATGCCCCACGAGTAGTGTAAATGTACGCGGAGAATCTCCGCCGGAAATACGCGAAGTCGCCCATTTGAAAGGCTCAGTCTTTTATAAAGCTCTGATTATTCAGACAAGCGTTGAACCAACGCGCTTCTTAGCTTTGTTTGAGGACCCGAATGGCAGAGCACGGAACATGACAATAGAAGAATCACAAGTGATCCAGCATTGGGGCCCAAGCAGAAATCGTGCTTTGCTGGGGGTAGAAATTGCACGCCCACATCGGCGCTCCACTCGGGTGAAAAGGATCTCCCATCAGTGCATGACGAGATTCAGGAGACCGGGGATGCATCAACCGCGATCAACAAATGTCACTGCTAGACATTGGAGTTTGTTGGCTCTTCGACTGACATAAGCTCACATGTAATCATATCAAGTATGTCCTATATATATATATATATTTATGTATGTATATATGTTTTTCAATATTGATATAATACTATATAATTATATACATATGTATATATATATATGTCCATGGTGTTCATAGTTTGTACCACAGGAGAGTCGGCCTTTGCAGGATCCAGAGACGATCCCGTTCCTCTATTTTTGTGCCTTGGCAAGGCCAAAACTGGAGCTTTGGTGGGTTTTAACATGTTTGCCATTACCCTGTGGCTGGATTTGAGCCAGCCTCTCAAAGGATGGTCATGTTTTGGTGACATGACGTGTTTTCCATATCCCGTTTGTTTTGTGCTTTGGCATATGTCCACCAGAAAAACGCAAGAACGACCGGTCGCAGCTTCCTTCGTCGCGCTGCGCCCGCCGCGTCGACCGGCGGAACGCCGATTCCAAGGCGTCGAAGATGTGCCCAGCGGAATCCTTCATTTCAAGGTTCGGGGGCAACGTAGAGCTGGCGCACCGGTGCCCGGCGCAAAACCAGACAAACCCTTCAAAATCCCTAACAAAACTTGAGAGAAGTTTGAATCACATGTGGATAAATAGTGAAGAGCTACGCAGCTGTGAGGAGCAAGCAAAATACTATCAGGTAGTGCTTGGGGTGCATGCACATTAGCTTGGTGGGAAGTGTGGTGTCCACAGACTGCGATTGTTGTGGCAAGGTGGGACGTAAACTCTCCCCGATCTGGGCGTGTGCTCAAAGCTGAATCAAACTTTGGTGACCTGAAACTTGTTTGTTGTTGGAGTTCTGGGCAGTCTGTTTGGCGTGAGAACTGAACACTGAACCCTTTCACATGCCTCAATTGATTGGAACGGCTTTTTGCACCGAATCCCTGCATGGCTACGGGCGCATAGCACCACTGGCCGCCTGGAGGAGTTGGAGCTCCTGTTGCAGCCTGTCGTCATGCGTTTGGACATGGAGTTTCTTGGCCTCCAAAGCTGCTGCCGGTGCCCTCCACCAATGGTGCAAACATTGTGGGCATTCTCTATACGCTAATTACTAATTGATAAGACAAGGTGTTGACAGGTTACTATGGAAGAAGCAACATTTCACTTGCTTTCATCCCTTCAAACATTTAACATTTGAGCGTGCTTTGAAGATGTCTCGTTCGATTCAAATTCTGAGTCCTTTGACAGCAAAAGGCATGAGCCATGAAGAAGCATGGGTTTGGCGGCCTGGAATGGGCTAGTTTTTGGACAAAAGGCGACCGAGGGAATCGGTCCAACACGGCTTCATAGATACATTGCAACGATCGCAACTTGCTGGCCATCCAAATTCCTTCTAAAACAGGTAGCTGCAAAGCTTTGCCCAAACCCGGTTTGTGTGTGTGTGTCTCAAGTAGGGCCTTCCATCAGGAAAGTGATAAACAAACAAACACCATACTAACACCATATCATGACATGAAATTTATTGGTTGGGAGTTGGGCATCCTGTTCCACAAACCCATGTCAGGTGAATACTGAGGGTTGGTCAAACTTCTGAGGAGCTTGGTGCAGCTGTACATTTGGACCTTGGTGGCCCTCCGGTCATGAAACAATGACCCTCATCGTGTAGGGCCGATGGACACCTTCACCGGTTTCTTGATGGCATGGATAACTCAACCCAACACTAACATGGAAGGTGAAAACCATTGGTTTATAACAGAGGAAAATCATGGAACATCGACTCCCCAAAGCTTGTTGTCCACTTCATGTGATGCGGTATGTTGGAGGGAATGTCCCTACTGCTACTCGCTTTGTAAGGTGGGCAGTTGCTAATGTTTTGGCCTCGTTGCTGGGGAGCTGTCAGCTGACAGCAGCAGCTCAAGCTGGGCTCAAGGGGCCGCAATGTCGCCCCACCTGGACGATCGCTTGGTGGCCAACATCCTGAGCTATGTGACTGAAATCAAGGCCTCCTCCAGTTGCCAGACCTGGAAGGAGCATCTCTATGATGCGCTGAAGCTAGAGCCCCAGGTCAAAGGCTTCAAAAATAAGACATGCAATGTTGATGTTGGTGGGCAAGTTTAAAGAAAAAATTGGGGCCACGTACTAGAATTTACTGATACCTATAACATTACCAGGATCTTGTATTACTCCCTTTGTGTTTTGTGGCCTTTTTTGGGCCTAAGCAGACCCACAGGTCTGCTTCATGCGACGGATTCTGGAGGAGAAGTCCGTCAGCTTTTGTTACAATGCGGTCCGCCCATTGGGCGAAGATTTCGAAGAAAGCGTGGGATACAACTTTAGCTTCTTCGCGGGCGGGATTTACCGACTGGCTTGGACCCGAACCTATGATGCCTGGTCGTCACAGGGGGAGCAACATTATGGAAGCTGGAAGATCCACTTGGGCCATGTTTATTGTGAGACACTGGAACCCACGGAAGAAGCCGGTGAAAGCGAAATGCGATACGCACCTGCTGGTTACAAGTTTGCCCTGCCTATCCACGACATTCTGAGTGCCAAGGGTGGATACTTTCAAGCCAAGGACCGAACCGCTTCCGCGGCCTGCCGCGCATGGTTGGAAGACGCCCCAACAGTGAACGAATTGGAAGGCAAAGATGGTTTGTTTGTCAAGAGGCGACGGGTGCTACATCCTAACAGAGTCCGATGAAGAAAACTGGATAAAACCACCCCCTCCAAGAAAAGCTATGCAGATCCCCAGGGTGTTGCAAACCTGTTAATACTGCTTCCTGAACCCGTTGCACGTGCGACCTCGCTCGGGCCAACGAATCCGTCCACCGGACCGTTGGCCTGCGGCTTGACAGGATGGCTCCAAGGCAGCGGCCTGGGAGTTGCCGGCGCGCACGGGGAAGGTCGAGAGCGAGAGCATTTTCACCGAGGGCATGTGGGAGCCTGTGGTGGTCGATCGGACTCAGGCGGGTGAACATGAGTGAAGAGTGGGTGAGCGATTTGTTTCTGGGTGAGGACTACATAGTCATGTGATGTCACGTGGATGTTCCTTTTTGGGGATAGAGATGGGGGCCTCAAACTTGGTTTTAAGATGGTGTAATTAATAAGTGCTGCATGCTGCTAAGTTAGTCATTGCTGGTGGTCGACCATACGTCTTCACTAGCTCACTAACGCGCTTTGTGCACCATGGAATCTAGAGTCTTTGCATGTCCATTTTGATGGACCAGATCTCAATTATAACAAGGCGACAGTTCATCTCACCCTTGAATGCACCATCTCAGTTGCAGACTTCCAGCAGAAATTCACATGTTTTGGGCAGGAGTCGGCAGGAGCACCACAAAAAGGCGACGGTCTCTCCCAACCTTGGGGATGCCCTGGCCTGCTTTTTGAACCTCAATTTCATGGCCTTTTCTACATATCATACACCAGTATAGAGCTCGTCTTGGTGCGCAAGCACACCGTGGAGAACCATTTCACGTGACACCGACCGTTTCGCTTCGTGTCACGTCCGACACCGCGACTCTCCAGGTGCGACTCTCTGGCCCCCGCGCCGATGCACGCTTCGTGGAGATCGATGGTGAGGTTCATGAAGTCTCCAATGACGCGCGGAGAAAAACCTTTTGGGGGGCCTTTGGTATTGCAAAGACCTCCAGACACATCACAAGACTGGAAGAATGGATGAGATTACTTATGGAGCGATCTTAGGAAGATAATGTATAAATAAGTAATGATTTGTATACTTAAAAACAACTTTAAAAACATTATGTAAATAATATAAAATAACTATAACTATATATATATATAGATATTAGGAAGATATCGCATTGTTGTCAAACATCGTGTCATGGGCTTTTTCTCAGTCGTTGAAGGTCGGCCCTTCGCAGGTCTGTCGTTGAGGGGGCCTGTGGGAACCTCATGCGTCAATATGTTTGTTTGGTACGGGTTCTCCTCTTTTGGGGGGGGTGTCCTTTTTCAGCAGCATTTTTCTGGGATTTGAATTGATTTGATACCATTAGTGGTTTTCGGGGGATTCTAGGGCTGCCAGATGATGCCAGATGGAGAGTGCATTTTAGCAGGCTTTTGCAGAGGTGTTCTTCCCACCATTGAACAAAGCCGCTGTCATTTCATGTCTCCATGCTTGCGACGTTTGGAGCCTTGCCTTTCAGCCAGGACATTGTGGAGAACTGGCCCGAACCAGACTGGCCGCGCCTCATGCGCTGCCGACTCCGCTTCGGCATTAATGGCTGACCGCTTCCAAGTGGAGCTTTTCCGCAGCCGACTATTTTCGCGGACACCTCGCCCAGTGGAAAAGAGCTGGATTTTTGCTTACTGATTTTGCTGTGGCCTTGGGCAGTTGGCCTCCTTTTGGTCACAATATGTATAACAGTAACCTCTTTTTTGTTGATGACTACCCACCAGGCATGTCTCCAAGTGCCAAGGGCCCCCAAAACAACATATTGGTATAATATATATATATATACTGCACGTATGTGTATAACACATAAATACATTCCCAGACCCAGACGTATATGTTTTTATACATATATATTATATAAAAAGAGGGGGAACACCTTATTTTCTTTAACCATTTTACACCAGAAGACTGAAGAGTTTACACCTTCCTGGGAAACACACCGCAATCAATCGCGTCCCATCGCCGTAAAGACCACGGATTTTGTCCCACGCAAAAACGCACGCGGTGCGGGGAGGTTCATCCTGGAAAATTAGACTGGGAACGATAAAAAGTCTTGGGTCATTTTTCCAGCGTTTTGGTCTTGGAAACCTAGCGCTTGCCGAGGTTTTGGATCGAGATCGGCCAACAGCTCCTGCGCTGGGTCTCCTCCGGCAACTCGAACGCGGCTGCAGCGGTACAAGGCGGAAAACGAGGGAACCAGCCGCTGGTCCAGCTGTTTTAGGTGGCTTTGGCAGCGCTGGTTTGTTGGTGTTGTCGGAGAAGAGCGGACATGATGGACTTGAGGCTTTGGACATCCCATAATTGTTATCATTGTTTGTGCTTTTTGTGGTCGTCACGAAACTGCCTCTTACTACTACTTACTAGCCGGGCAAAATGCACACTTGTGCTATGGTTGGCCAACCAAGCTCCTAGCTAAAAATGCAATACCAAATCTGTAAGGGCAAGGATGCGACAGGGTGGCACCTTCTTCTGAAGGTAGCAGTCCCACAAGGAGGGAATTATACTGTATTATGGTAGAGGTTCAAGACTTAATCGCAAGCCTCACGCAACCTCATACACACATCCTGAAAATGTGAAACACCACAAATCTCGCTGCCCACCACCACTCCAACCAGTCCTCGTGAGCCTGACTGTGCAGGCTTCTCCTCAGAGGATCGCCAGATTATGGAGACTCAAATCCGACACCTCCGAGAAGGAGGCCCGCGAGTGTCAAGGATCTTGTTTGCAGACTGCAGGTGGTAGATGGAGATCAAAGTTTTCAGATTTACATTTCAGAGTGCCGAACTGTCACCGATTCCGAAATGTAGAGATGCAAGGTGTGGTCATCATGACCATGATGCCATGTGCTTTTTCTGCTAGGATGGTCAAAAAGAAACAGATGAATGAAGTAGGACAGAGAGCCTTAGTGGGATCAGGTGTCATAGGATGTTTGTCCTGTGCACCCTGTCATGAGGCCAGAGTTCGGCTGCTACAAGAATGGGGTGGGTATCATATCGAATCATTAGGTGCTCGAGTTTGGGTCCCAATGCTAAGCTGCTAATGGTTTTCTTCTGCCAGATGCACACCTTTGGAGTGCACACCTTCGGAGTCGTAATTTGTGTGATGGGTTTAGGCGCTTCTGCGCATGGTCATCCACAATATCCAGAAGAATGGATAATAATGGTTTATATACATTGTTTGTGTCTTGCCATGTGTGTGGTCGCAAAACGAAACATGCAGAAAAGTTACAAGCTGCACTGGAATTGAAGGCAGGGTCACAGAAGGCATCGCAAATACCTACTGTTTGTTTGTTTAGATGAGTCTTCACATGTTTTCACCAATGCTGCAATTAGCTGTATTTGCGCGGTATTTTGTCGACGTGTTGAATCAAGTTGTTGATGAGTCACAGAAAACAAGCGTGCGTCCCGTTTGTAGGGAGGGAGTAGTTGTGCTGAGAAAGTGTACCCAACCTACAGTAAAGCTACCCAAAAAGCGACAACCTGCAATTGCCTACAACAGTGCATTTAACCTGGCGTAAACCAACCAAATACTGTCGTGCACATTCACGCAACGGGCAAAACTCATTATAGTGAAATACAACCTGCGGTGCGCGTGATCATCGTCATCATTTTGTCGTCCACATTGATTGAACTGCTCTAAATCATTCCAAAGCGATAACCTTGGCGACAACCCTTTTTACACGAAGACCCCCGGCCAAGACCCACGGACCTAGATGTTGGGCACCTGAAGAACGAAGTCACGAAGTCCTTCCATCTTTTGGGGGGGTCAGAAAGATTTGGCAAATACCGTGCAACCTGGGTCCGTGTCAAATGCTACTCTCCCCCGCGGTGCTGGTCCACAATGAGATCGGCTGTATGATAATGCAAGGCCCCGACTCATAATCTATAAAACAATATACCATCCAATAGGTGGTTGATTTGGCACGTGTCCTTTTGTCGCTGGTGTGCAATGGTTTGGCAGCAGCGGCAAGACATTGCAACACAATATTGCATCATCCAAGAAGCCGTAACATAGCATAAGTGTTGGGACCCAAACCATTGCTAATTTGTGTTTTCATTCTCCGAGAATCATGATCCTAAGCCATCATCCCGGATGCGCAAAGGCATCGATGTTCCTTCTGGCAAGACTACGTTGCGACCAATCTATTTGGAGCAGTTCCGATTAGGAGCCGTCCACCCGGCGGGAAGGGTCGCAGATGCGGTCGGCGACCGAGCCGTCCGTCCTTTGAACGAGGACCGGAGGCGTCAGGTGGGACACCCTGTAAATCCTGTGGTGCAACGAACAGGTTGTTTTTTGTTGCCCAGACTCCAGCATGCTGAGTTAGCATGAGTTAGCATGCTTCGAGTCGAGTATGTGTATAGATATAGATAGATAGAAGAAGTGCAGAAGGATTGAAGCGTTCAAATGGATAAGACAACAAAGATCTTCACGGGCTTAGGTTGCCCCATACTCTACATCCGCAGTAGGAAGTGGAACACCCTTTATGTGTCCTTTATCCTCGCACGTTCGACTTTGGATACGCCACAGTCGTGCCAAAGAATGCACTTTGAGGAACCGAAAGCTTCAATCTTTTGTGATTAGGCTTCCAAGCAATCCCCGGGTTTTAGCCCAAGTTACGCCGCAAGGAGCCTTGATCGCACAAGTGGAGTTCCTGATGCCAATGAAAAAAACTGCAAAAATTCTCAAGCAGAGCAAGGCGCACTTCGTTATATTCCGCAGGGTCAGAAGGTGGTTGGAGGAGGGTTTTGTGAGGGATCCGATGCGATCAGTGAAGGTGTGAAGGTATGCGACCCAGAAAGATCCTGTTCTTCGGCTCCCGAGACCAAGACAAGTGTTCAATCTTGTGGGGTAGTGAAACCTGAAGTCCCTCGGAACCCAGAAGTCCTGGTTTGGGGACGGTCCGGTGCAATTTGGTCACTCTTCCACCTGAAAGTTAGTTGAGCAGAAACCCTTTTAACATATGATATGTCCTTAGAATAAGGTCAATTGAGTTCCCCCCGGGCAGAAAATTAATTGAGTTCCCCCTACTGAGCTCCGAAATAGCTTTCCAGTATTAATGTCCCCAATGTATCCAAATGTTGACAACTTGGGCTGGGGGGTCTTTGAGAAGGTGAAACATAAATGGCATCAGAAGTTCTGATTTTGAGTTTCTGACAAGTTTGAGATGTGCTCGCTGCTACACAAAGCAATGAGTCGAATCATGTCGAATCTAGACCTGAGACCTAGCAAGAAAACTTCCGCGTTTGCGTGCTCAAGCAGACCTGAGGATGACGGTGGTGTTTAGACGGAAAGGCAGTTAAAAAGAATAATAGAAGAAGGAAAGCTATTCAATGCTATTCATATCAATTCTGAGACGGACTCTTGCCAGATTCAACAGGGCGTGAATCGGCTTCAATGTATTTGGAGTGTTTGCAGACCATAAATGGGGCAAAGTCCTTGAAGGGGCGAGGCCCGAACAAAAACATCGACGGGCACTTTCAGATTTGGGCTGAGTCGCTTGTTAACCTGTCCTTGACTTTTGGTTGCATCTTGTACTCAAGCTAAGAAAGGCTCAATTAATTAGGTCAAGGGTACCCCAATTAATTACAGTCAGTCCTGGAAGATACAGTGTCTTGATTTGGGTTTGCTGGTCCTAAGACATCGACATCGACTGAACCTCGCTTCTAAATGACCTGCCACCAAAAAAAAACACACACACATCCGCAACGTCTCAGCCGGCCCACCGTAAGTGGAAGACCAAATCGCCCGATCGAACTGCCGATCCGATCACCCAGGCGGCCTCCGGTTCGGACTCCGCGACCACCTTGGAGGTCGGTCGTGGGGTCGGTCGGGTTTCGGTTTTGGGGGGAGAAAGGCGGGTCCCTTTTTGCTTGATCCCTTTCTCGGTGTGTGTGTGTGTTCTACTTTTTCATACTTTTTCTGGGTTGGGAGGGAGGTCATTGGTGCGAGAAGTGCGGTGATTCTTTGACCAGGACCTGTATATCGATCGCTACGAATTCATTAAATTTGACGCGGGACATTCCAAGTTGCTTCTTTTTCTCCCGGACAAGACAGGAGGACAAGATTGTGACAAGATGTGTTTTGTGGCCTTATTGGCTCTTCTTTTACTTCATTTGAAGTGACCACATTCAGGAACTTGCTGGGAACAGTTGCAGTATGTTACAGAAAGTAGGGCATTCGGGCCACGTTATTTAATTCGACAACGTGTACATTGTTGGACCATTTACTGGAGCTTCTAACCAATATGCCTACACGCCAAGCTCTATCGAGATGATTGAAGTCTGCGGGTCCTTCAGAGGAGGGTGAGTGGTCGAAACCTATATAGTTCCGCCTGGGATAGGCAGCTGACAAGCTTCCCCTTGCCCGCCCTTGCATTGGTGCAGGATGCAGAGGACCAGTTCGACACACAATGGCTCCAGTGGCGTGGCTGTTTGAACCAGGAACGCTCGGACACACCGCCGACCTGAGGCGCAGAGGGTCATATTACGTCCATTGATGTCCTATTGACTGTTTGTCCTACAAAGAAGCTTGTTCCAAAGTCAGTTGCTTCAGACCTCTCAGAACAAAAGGATCAAAAGGATCAGTGGCATTTGAATGCTTGTGCCCCTCTGTGATGAATGCTTGGCCCCGAGCCATTTCACCGGAGACCTCGTCCTCACCGGAGACCTCTCCCAGGTCCATGTGGCTCTCCCGGGTCTTGGCTCGACTCACGTACCGCTCCCATGGACTCATGAAGTGCCTGGGCGCAAGCACGCGGGGAAGACGGGTCTCGGGGGGTCTCAGACGGGTCGCCAAGAAAGTGGAGGGGATGCCCAGGTCGATGTGAACACGAACACGAACAACAGAGAAGCAATGTGATACAAATGATATATATATATATATAATATCTATAGTTATATATACATATATATATATTATGAATTATAGTATAGTTATTATAAGTATTATATCATGTGAGAAAGGGATGAAGAAGGTGTGCTCGGTTCGTTCAATATGAAGGTGGTGCCGCCTTCCGCCAACTTTTCAAACACCCCGTATCTCGTTTCTCCGGCACTGGTTTGCCTGCGTGATTGCGGGTGGGTTCCACATGACCCAAGCATCGGAAAAAGGAGGACCAGTGGATGGTTGTAATGTAACCCAGAGTGAAAACTGTGAATGGTGTATAGTTTGTTGCATCGCCCAGGCCAATCAAATCGATGTGATCCAATTCACAAACACAAGATGTGCAAAGGGTTTTCGTTGTGGTGATCAATCAATCACTGACTCTACTTGGCTTCAGCACTGGCGGACAGGGCCGGACTGGGCCAGAGATTCGCATCGACAGCGCTCTTGTGGAGCCCCAGAGCTCAGATGGTCGATATTTGTGGACACACCTGAAGGAGTCCAGGCTCAAGCAGACTGACATTGTAACATGGTGCTTTACCCCCAGACAGACTGTTTCTGCAAAACTTCAAAGCTCGTTGAATTGGATTAGATGGGAGACAGATCGTTTGGTCAAGCCTCGAGTCATGTAGCGCCTTCGGAACAACTTGAAACAAGGCCCAAGCGATGTTGGCAGGGATCAACATTCTATTTGCATGTATCATGTAACTGGTAGGGGTCCACGATATACAAACACCGGCACGACTAACCAGGTGTATATGCATTGTATACATTCAGTTTTTAACTCTGTGCATTTTGCCCATTAGCATTTTGACGGCGATGACATTGCCTTACACACTCCGACTGGGGGTGGCTCTATTCCGGCAGACACTGAGGACGATCCCTCGTTCCATGCTGGTGGTTCCGAATGTCGAATACCTACAGCCCCTAATCAACAAAGTAGGATTCCCATCACTGACGTTACCGGCAGGCGTTACAGTTGAGCCGGACACCGTAGCTGGTGTACCCGGAGAGTGGCTCTTGCCTGACGAAAACTCACAGGAGGATACCTTGCTACTTTGGGCACATGGAGGTGGCTTCATGTTTTGTTCGCCAGGGACACATCGTCAGTTTTTGGCACGGGTGGCACTTCGCTCCCAGTGTGCAGTCTTTTGCCCTGACTACCGGAAGCCTCCAACGTATCCCTTTCCCACACCACATGAAGATGTTTGGACAAGCTTCAAGGCGCTGAGGGGCGGGAAAAACAGGATCTTCGTGGGTGGTGACAGTGCGGGAGGCAACTTGGCACTGGAAGTGGCTCGCTTGGCACTGGAAGAGGACAAGGCAGCTGGTTCAGCTGGTGTAGTCCTCCTTTCGCCTTGGGTGGATTTGACAGACACCAGCAGTAAATCCTGGGTGGAAAACCAGGAGATCGATTTCATTCCCTCTCAACAAGCTGGCATCGTGGCAGAAATCTATGCAGGCGACACGCCCCTCGAGGATCCGGTCGTCTCACCTGCCCGACGGCTTGCATGGCCAGAAGGCAGGCATTGGGTATATACTTGTTACTAGTAGCTTATTGTTTCTAATAGCTTCTTGCTACTACTAGTAAGGCACTTGTTACTAGAAGCGATGCACTTGTTCCTAGTAGCGTCTTGTTTCAAATGGCCAGAAGGCTTTCCGCCGGTGCTGCTGGAGTACGCGGGCGCCGAAGTCTTCCGCGATCAGATTGAACGCTTGGAAGAGCTGCTGGCGAAGAACGGAGTGGAAGTGATCGCTCATTGCGAAAAAGGCCAAGTCCATGTGTATCCAATCTTAGATTTTCTAGCCGTGGAGGAGCCCAATATGTCCGAAGGTTTCTTCTCCAGGCTGACCCGATTCTTGGGCAGTAAGCGGTAAAAGGGTGTGCTGTCATGTGCTGTCTCATGTCCCGTGCAGCTCTTCCATGTAGCAGTTTATCACGGAAAATGAGAAAGATCATGAACGATCACGTGAGAGGCATGCATCAGAATGGCAACCCGCAGCCAGTGGAAGGATGACACTGACTCAGAGAAAGGATCAACTGGTCAACCACAGCCGCCTCGCAGTTTTGCATAGACTTCCCGACGCAAGCCATGAAAGGAGTTGCACCCCCTGCCCTTGTTTTTGCGATGCCACGCCAGTTAGGCCGTCTCAAGATGAATCTACATGACGACACCTTCTACTTTCCCGCACTTGGAACGAAACCATTGCATTCCTGTACAGTAGCTCACGTGGCCGCGATAAGAATTGGTTTTCCCGGAAGTTTGCCCTATGCCATCCTTGAAGGTAGAAGATAGACAGAAGGCAAGACTGACCCCGAGGACGGTGCTGACTGTGGCACAGAAGGGCTTGGTCTTCGTGATCACCAGCGCCGCCTGGTGGTGTTGGAGCTCCGAATGCCAGGGCAGTTATCATTGGGGAGATAGTGATAGATAATGTTGAATGTGATGCAGCATGTAATTTATATCAGCATCAGCAAAGTATCGTACCATCATAATTTAGACTAAACCAATATGGTTTGACTGCTTATTGAGATTGTATCAAGATATTGCACATATCGCAACCTCAGAACAAGTTTTGAAGTCTATCTAAGATGTATTATATACTTAATATATGTATACAGAGATAGATACTAGAAAACCATCCCTACCAGACTGCTCGACAACTTGAAATAGGGTTCGGTTCAGGTGGGTGTTTTTTGGAGTGTTAGGGCTCTCTGCAAATACCGTGAAAGTACGCTGACAGCTCCATTGAGCAATCAGCTATCGTCGTAGGCTTTAACTTGAAGCTCACCCCAGATGTCGAAGGTCTTGGATGCATTTTACCATGGTTTTTGGAGAGCGAATTGCCGTTCAGTCTTAGATGCATTGGGGGCTGTTTTGTGATCCGAAAGGATGGGGAGCTGGGAGCTTATCAGTTGGGAGCTGTGACATCCGTTCAGCGCCGCACGAGTGGCACCATTTGAGAAACCTCAGGTGGGCAGTGGTGTGCTATCGAGCATTGGCCACGTGACGCCCAGATTTGCGCTCCCTGAGAGACTCAGCTGACACAGCCAAGAAACGTAGATCAAAATCTTGACGAAGAACCCTCAAGAACCATTTCTTGGCAGGATCCAGATATAGACTCAAACGCACGACGTACTCAAGCCAAATATCTCCAAACAATGGATCCTAAGAACCGTCCCAACACGCCCTAAACCGCCGAGAGCCGCCAATCGCCAGGACCGTCATTCAGTCGGAGTTCACAGACTTGACTCCATTCGCCAATGGCCTCTTCCGAAACTACATGAAGCATGGCATGTGCGCCAGGGAAAATACAGCAGTTGCGGGGACTGATGGGTGGAGAACTGGACGGTCCTGTGTGAAATGTATGGGTCGAGTCATTTAACAGAAGTCAGCAAAATTGATTACCGTTTGTGGGCAGTGGGCTTTGCCTTTGTTTGAGAATGCCAATTCTCACCACTACTCTATCCTCCACAGATGCACAGCACGGTCTGATGTGTTGGAACCCCGTTTGCTCCTTCATTGGCGGCACGGGCAGCGGGAAAGAGAGAGATCGGCAGCGCAGGTGGGAATCCTACAAGGTCCTGGGCAGCATGAACATCTTGGGAGATCCTATCGGTTGGACCTTGTCAGTGGGAGGTGTGCTGATCGATCGGTCACGGCCATGGATGCAACTGCAAGGAATAGCGATGCCCACGTGTGTTTTTGGTGGACCACCCCTGAAGAATAGCCCAAACACGTTCTCCAAGAGGAACGGGGACTTGAAAAAAGAGCCGTCATGACAACACTAGGCCAGGGATGAGACCGAGGGAAACGGAAGATTGGCTGTGGCAGCAGTTTTCTGGCGGTTGTGGCTCCTATCAGTTCACAGCATGGCTGAAAGCCGCTATCGGCTTGTGACATCCTTCGCATCAACCAAGGTGGCTCGATTGGTTGGATGATTGGTCAAGTTTAGTACTACGTTACTACATGCTTTGAGTCGAACCTAGATGAAGCACACGTGCTGTTGCTCTAAACGGTATATATAACATGTGAACAATTAGTAAGTATAGACAAAATGCCTCAAAGTTGCTCGCAGGCACTGGAATCCAGAATCGATGGCCACGGCTCTATAGAGAGTTAATCCCAAGGTACGTGAATGCATGAAGCGTACACTAAGTAATTAGGACATTTTGCACAGCACGGCTACACTACCAGCGCCATGAGCGACGTTCTGCCGCTGGTGGTGGAGTGGAAGGAGAAAGGCAACTCGAAGCTGAAGGCTGAGGACGGTGACACAGCAGCGCTGGGCAGACGGGGGCCAAAAAGCGATGACCAAACGCCTTGAGAAGAGAGCTCCTTGATTAGATCATCTTAGATCCACTTGGCCAGAACATGCCAGAACCAGCTTCCAATCAATGGGATAAAGCAGGTGTTGGACGCTTAGAGGTTTGAAGATTTGAAGCTGAAAAGCGAGGGCCGGGCCCAGACGGTCAATTGCTAGTGACTGCTTGTGACGTGTAGGACAAGCTCGGGGCTGTGGAGTGCTACAGCGAAGGGCTGTTGATTGGCTGGAAAGCCATTGACGAGTTCCGGGGCCTGGCGGAGGACCTGCTTCGCCGCTTCAGGTGTCGAGGACAGTTGAGGAGTAGGTTTAAGATGGAGCATCACAGTAAGCAGTCCTTAGGTGAAGTAGATGGTCGCATCAGCGGTCATGACATGGTTTGCAGCACAATTACTTGTGATTCAATAACCATTTTGTCAGCCTTGCGTTGGCACCGGTGACGCCAAATGACACCAGCCCTCCAGACCAGCGGACGCCAAATGACACACCAGCGAGAAGTGGTGGTCCAGGATTTGGAAGCACTGAAAGTGGCAGTAGCCCAGATTTGTGCCAACCGTGCACATGTGCATCTTCTGCTGGATGAGCCGGAATTGGCCTTGGACGATTCCTGCAAGGCCTTGGAGGCCGTGCACCATATTTGTGTGATTCGGTAAACAGTAAACGTATGGTGTGAGGACGTTGCTCAATGTTGCTCCTGTCTTTGAGCACAGGCCTTTACCAGGATCTACCACGAAAAATTATGTGTTTTGAGAAAGCTACTCATGGCTGGACCACTTCTCTGGTGTTTCACAGGGGTGTTTCCAACTACATATGCCTTTGGAGAAGATGCTCCATGGAATGCATGAATCACTTGCTTATGATTCCCTAATAACCACGTGGCAATTCGATCTCCTCCCAGGTGGACTTCCAGAACGCCAAAGTCAGCGGCTAAGCCCGGTGCACCAGGGTGGCGGTCCTGTGGAAGATCCTTTCTTTAACAAATGCTCTGCCCACTGACGCTGAAGGACTCAGAGACATTTGAGTACGCTCAAATTGGCTTACAGTAAATGCTGAAGCTTTATGTAGGGGGTGCTCCCTATAACTATAACAGACAGATTGACAACTTAAAATGCTTGTTGGGCCATTGTGTCATCAGTAGATGCCTCGCCCATTTGAAGCAGGAGACCGCACCGAGGAAGATTGAAGACATTTCAAGACTAAACGAGTTTAGGGAGATTGAAGAGGAGCCAAACCCACCAACCCAACCCACGAGATCGCCGCGCCCCGCGGAGGCGTACTGGCGTGGCGCCACCGCCGCGCTCCGCCTCCCAACCACCCACGCGCGCCGCCGCGAGGCCGCCGAGCTGCTGCGGCAGGGGCTCCGCTTGGCCTTCGACGCGGCCGGCGCGGGGACGGTGCTGCCCAAGCTGTCACGGAGCCGAAGGGGAGTATGGGGATAAGTGGGGATGGATGGGATGGGCTCAGCTATCACCATGGCGTGTTTTGCTCAAACCCAGAGGGCACATCCAAAAGATGGAGGCGAACAGAGTGAGGCAGGCGCTTCAAGCTATCGACGTGGCTGTACACTAATGTCGGATCATTTGCCTACGGTGCTTGGTTACTGGTGCTGCCTGAGACAAATCCAACACTTCGGATCGGTCAAAACCAAAACCTGCCATTTTCGGCCCGAGAACGAACATCCATGGCCAAAGTTGCTGTTGTGCAGTCCATAACAGTGCAGTTCTCAGGTTTTCAGGTTTTGATCCATGGTCCGCCATTGCCATTTGGGACTACAGACGAGCGAAGCTTCAGGACGTACGGCCTTCGGCGTTCGGCTTGAAGATCTGAGGCTGAAAGAGAATTTGGACACCTTTCGCTGCTGGGCAGATGAGGGGCATCTTCCCTCCATGTTTTTGGTGGCCTTGGCCTATTTGAAGGGCAATGGCGTTGCAAAAGACAATGAAAAGGCAGGGAGAAAAGGGCCAAGGGCCGCGGACTCTCAATGTCCAGAGCATGCTGAAATGATGTTGGCACTGGGCAAGTAAGTGATCCCAAAAAACTGAACAGGTCCACCTTTAACATTCAACCCACAAACCACCCTCACAGGCAAGGTGCTTTGGATTTTTGGCTCGCCTCGGGAGGCTTTGCAATCCATTAGGTCAACTTAAGCGCACTGAAGGTCTTTCTCAGGCTGGACCACCAGCGACGGTTAATCATCCACGCAGGCCTTGATGCTCTTCCAGGAAGCTGCAGGAAAGGGTGATAGCCTTGCAAAGGCCATGGCAGAAAAGCTGGAGGTGCTGGGTTTGGACCCAGAGATGACATCGAGACTCTCCCAGACTCATCTTTGTAACAGAGAAAGCTGTTCTTTTGCAACTCGTATAATATATATATAATATATAAATATATACAGTATATATATATATAGTGATACATATCCACATACACACACCCTTCGATTGATCATGCTCCCACTCCCAGAACTGTCCTTTGGTCTTGGAAGCAGATCCATGTGAGTTTGGCCTGCTGGAATGGTCATTCTTGAAGCTGATGAACAGTTGCAGACTCATCAGTGCTTCATGTTGAACTTGGTCCAGTTGATGCTCAATTCGATGCTGATCATTTCCACACCGTCCAATCCATCATATCCATCGCGCTTCCTCTCGACATGGTCAGGCTCAGAAAGCCGAGGTGCTGCCACCCGAGCTGCAAATCTGGGCCAAAGAGGCGGCGAATGGAGACGCCAACGCCCAATTCAACCTCGGTTTGGCTTACTATCGCCTTTTGACCTGCACCAGACAGGCAGAATGTTTGTCATGTGTTCTTGGCGTTGTGGGAGGGTGTGTGAGGCCATGTTGCTTTGCTGTTGGAAAGTTGAACTTCACTCGTATGTTTTTCATCATTCATTTTTCATTTATACTTTCACTTCTATATGTACGAATATGATATTTGATGATATTTGCGTATATATACTTGGAAGTTTGGCATCTACTCGGCAATCACTTTCCGGATGTAGAAATTATGCAAAGGTAGAAGAACGCTGTGGCAGGGAGATGTCGATCGGGCAGATTTGTAGTCGCTCTTCACCCAGAGAACTGCAAGCATGTGGGCTCTTACTTCTCATAGAACCATACTTCTCTAGCAGAACCCTGCGAGTGGAACCACGCCCTCGAGATTGCAACTTGAAGCTGCAAGCCGTCCCAAAAAACAGCCATCACGACCCACACGACCCTTGTGAACCGTCTGGCCTACTATATAGCTGATTTTGCATTCCAAGGACCCAGTTGGCAGCTGTAGGCTGTAGGATGCCTAGTCATTGCGGAGGTGCGCCTCATAATATTTGGGGTCTGCGCAGGCGTAGTGGAAAAACGGCCTCCTAGGTCCTAATATCTACAAAGTCACTAAAGACTGTTCCCATATCACCAACTGGGCTGGAAGCAGTTCAAAAGAAATTAAGAAGCATCGGCATCAGTCAAAAGCAAATCGAATGAATGGGCCCAAAGTCGAATGACCCAGGTTTCACTGCTTCTTCCCAGCCAACCAGATCCCTCAACACTTCATGTGACCTTCCGTCGTCCATAATTTGAAGCTGTTCTCACTGAGGAGGTGATATGGTGCAGCAGGATTTGTTCAAGTGCGAACAGCTGTGGGAGAGAGCCGCTGAACAGGGTGATGATATGGCCAAGGAGAACTTGGTGACCCTCCGGGAGCACATGAAGCTGATGCAAAACGATGCCAAAAAGGGCGTGCTACTCCGAATCAGTCATGTCGGAGCACTCCGAAGTGTAGAGTCAGTTTATATAGAGCGTCCCAAATGGGGCGAAATTGGGCGCCCGTTGTCGGGCAGCGTTGTTTCATGGACTCCAGGCATGTTTGCCCCATGTGAATTTCTTCCCCTCCGGGACTCCGGGTTCCCCTCCTCCATATTTATGAGCCATTGCTGGGATGTCCTTGCCTGCAGGGCCCCAATCTTGTCAGTGGGTGGACAACCAAGTGGGTGGACAACCACGTGGGGGTTCCGGGTGGGTGCCCAGAAGTTGCGACGGAGACATCCTAAACACCCGACCGAGATTCACGTGGGGGTTCCTTTGAGTCACTGACCAGGTCCTGTATGTGACCAGGTCCTTTGTGAGGCACCCATTGAAGTCACCCATTCTTTGGACAAAGGTCACTGACCACTCTGATGCACTAGGGGTGTGAGGACTTACCGATCAAACCGGATCACCACGGGCCTCCCGGCCACCGGCCTCCCAGTCGGGCCAGGCGAGTGCTTCGTCGGACGGGCGATGGCACAGGTGGTGTGAAGCAGTTCTTCCTGAAGACGGGCAGCGAGGTCCTCCAGGGCGACTTGAAGGGGGAAGGCGTGCTGAGCTTGGCCCAAGGACGGACAGTAACATTGTCAGTCAGGAGATCCTCGGAGATTTGTACCTTTGTGAACTTCATTCAAGGGGGCTCCAACCCGAAACGGTCAAGAATGCGTCAGGAGTGGTTGGCGGCACTGCTGCTCACGTGGGCAAGTTCTTTGGAGCGCTAGGCGCGCCCCGTGGGGCTCCTTGCATCCAACGGGAAGGAGCGCTTGGAGCCGTGTTCATGTGTGTGCAAAGATCCTCCAACCAGCCTCCAGCATTTACAGTAACCATTCAGCACAGGTCAAACTGTTGTTTTGTTTTATTTAACGCACATCGCTTCCCACTGCCATCAACATTCCTTTAAGAAGAAAAACTCGTAATGATTGTGGTTGCACATTGTTGTTTCCAGTTCGGGACCATAAAAGCGTTGTCGAGCAACACCAGGCAATGCAGCCATACATCGTTCTTTTGTCACCGTCAAAGAGAAGCCGGAAATCTTAAGACAAGCTCTCTCGGCAAATGATTTCTTTGATACTTGTAACAGTCCCTTTGCCCTTCTGACTCACTTGTTATTCTTCTGGGCCCTTGATATGCTTGTCGCTTTAATACCCGGCCCCGGCCTTATCGTGGTCGTTGTTTCCATGTCCTGTCCAACCCCAACGCCAAAAGCCTCGATCCGGAGGCGATACCGTGGATGCGCTGGCACAGACGGGTGACGCAGGTCAAAACTACTTGCTGCTGGGCTTATGTTGAGATAATTGTAGCCGGAAATCTTTGACATGAGGTATGTGGCAGCTTCCAGGAAGCACGCAAGATGCAGGTGTACGCTTTGGCTCGGTTAGGTCAAATGTACAGGCTACACATGTATGTTATGACTATATTCTGACTACACATGTTTGCATGATGGATTAGAAATCGGTTGATGCTGGACTCTGGACCCTGCTCCTTTGCTTGACTGAAGCAGATGCAGCATGCAGATTCCAGGCCCAAAAATTTGAGGCATGTGCTTCGTACTGAATAAGAGTGCTTCAATATGAGAGATTCATAGAGATTCCAGGCCTTAAGAAGCAGAGAGTACATGGATCTACGCAAGGGTCTTCCAGGTGTTTCGTCCGCTCGAGGCCTGGCAGCGTGAATCATGTGGGTGATGGCGTGATCGTTGGCACACAGGCGGGCAGCAAGTGACAAGTGACGTTCCAGCCACACTCGATTGGACGCTCCGGGACATCAGGACATCTCTCGTTCCCGCATTGGTCGCCATGAGGTCTTTGGGCGCCATGTGGTCTCTGGGATGACTGGACTGGTCAAAGCACCGATCCATGGCTTTCGAGACAAAGGTGTGGAGATGGGTTCCGGATGCCGTAGCTTCGTTGTGGTGTTCCTGGCAGCTCTACATAAATCTATTGGTCAAAAATATCAAAAGAAAAGGACATTCATGGCTTTGTATGGCATTTATATAAGATCCTTCAAGTCGCACCGCTGTTTGCGGCGGCCACTGTTTCTTGCCAAATGAAAGTGCTGTCATCCAATATTGAAGGAAATCCTTTAGCTTCATGCAAACTCGTAGAATCACGTGTACAACCTGTTCTCTCCCATTCTACTTTGTTGTTCTGCTTTTTGCTTTTTACTGTTGCTTCCAACTCCACTCCTGTCGTTTGCGCACAGGCTGGCGTGGCTTGGGGGAAGGCTTTTTGAAGGGAGTTCGTGGTGCTGTCGCCCAGCCGGTGAGTGGCCTCATGCATGGCGCCCAGCACATCGCCCGGACCCGAGTGGGCGCATCGCCGATGTGGGTGCATGGCGCCCAGCCACGTTTAGATCAGCTGAGGCAGATGGGGTGGATGCAACAACCAGGCTTTGGGATCACTGGGGACAGAGCTATGGCAGCAAAAAGGCAATCAATTTTGTTTGAGGATCTTCGGGTGGTCTATGACCTGCTTGTACTATGGACCACCGGCAGGTCATGCAGCTATGTTTGAGGATTTTCAGGTCCATAAACCCCATGGCTGCATGACCTGCTTCAAGTTCGACCAGGCCAACTGGACCGGCTCAGGATCTCTGTGCGGCGAAGCGCCCGGAGTCTCCAACATGGCCGGCTCCTGCCGTTGGTGGGTGCCGAGTGCCGTGGCTTTCATCGGGATGGGTGAAACCAGCGATAGTTTCAAGTGGGTTGGTCCACGTGGCAAACAACAGGGTCGTGCCCTTGTTTTGGAAAGATGCACTTTGAGAGGGTGTGGCACTGGTGTTGTGCCAACTCAGTCGGCAGAATTGTGTTGAAATAGAATTTGGAATGTCAACAGCTGTGCAAACCTCATCACAGGCTTTGGATCTAGTGTACGGCAAAAAGTGGACATGTTGGAAGTGCTTTGAAATATGCTTCTAATATCAATTGATAAATTTGATGATTCTGGATGCATGAGGCTTTTATGGTAGTCAGATTTGAACAACTTTAGCAGTGAGACAGCTACAGACAGTTAACCACTTGACGGTGCCTCCGAGACCTCCTAGCTTTTGAGTGGACTCCTCGGCATTCTTCCGAGGTTTTCACCTCGTGTGACTGCTACTTGGCAGACGGCGATAGCAATCGTAGCGGGCGAATCCCAGAGAAAGTGTTTTGTCAGTCTTTGAGTCTGTGGGTCAAAGTGACACAGGCAAAGGATTGGCAAAGTTATTGTTGGTTGGTTGTTTCTCCCATTTGTCGAATGATTTTGTCAAGAATTGTGAATACTACTTTACGAAACGGTCATGATTAAATTCTGGTGCTTCATGCCATATCGTGTCTTTTGTTGTGTCCAAGCCTGTAGTTATGAGGCTGGTACTTAGGCAAGAGTTTGTTTGGAGGGCACCTGCTTTGGTGCAGTGCACCTCCCTTGTGCTTTTTCCCCAACAGCAACATGCTTTGGGGTCTTCAGCCATAGTAAAGGTTTCGGAGCAAGCCGGAGCTGCTCCCAAAGACATTCCCCCAGGTTCCCACAAGGTTCCGAGGTTCCCGCCAGGTTCCCGCCAGGTTCCTGCAAGGTTCCTGCAAGGTTCCTGCAAGGTTCCCAAGGTTCCTGCAAGGTTCCCAAGGTTCCCACAACTTTCTTCCACAAGGTTCCCCCAAGGTTCCCACAGCTTTGCTCCAACGTTCCCACAAGGTTCCAGTTTTGTTCCACAAGGTTCCCACAACTTTGTTCCACAAGGTTCCCACAACTTTGCCACACAAGGTCCCCCCAAGGTTCGCAAGGTTCCCACAGCTTTGCTCCAAGGTTCCCACAAGGTTCCCACAACTTTGTTCCACAACGTTCCCACAACTTTGCCCCACAAGGTTCCCACAAGGTTCCCAAGGTTCCCACAAGTTTGCTCCAAGGTTCCCACAGCTTTGCTCCAAGGTTGCCCCAAGGTTCCCACAGCTTTGCTCCAATGTTCCCACAAGCTTCCCACAACTTTGCTGCAAGGTTCCCAGAAGCTTCCCACAACTTTGCCCACTTTGCTTGAAGGTTCCCACAAGGGACCAAAGGTTCCCACAGCTTTGCTCCAAGGTTTCCACAACTTTGCCCCACAAGTTTCCCAATGTTCCCACAAGATTGCTCCAAGGTTCCCACAACTTTGTTGCAAGGCACCCCCTAAGGTTCCCCCACAAGGCTCCCCAAGGTTCCCACAATGTTGCTTCACAAGTTTCCAACAAACCACCCAAGGTTCCCACAACTTTGCTCCAAGGTTGCCCCAAGGTTCCCACAGCTTTGCTCCAAGGTTCGCGCAAGGTTCCCACAACTTTGCTGCAAGGTTCCCACAAGGCTCCCACAAGGGACCAAAGGTTCCCACAGCTTTGCTCCAAGGTTGCCCGAAGGCCAAGGTTCCCACAGCTTTGCTCCAAGGTTCCCACAAGGTTTCCACAACTTTGCCCCTCAAGGTTCTTCCAAGGTTCCCACAACTTTTTTGCAAGGTAAGGTTCCCACAACTTTGCCCCACAAGGCTCCCAAGGTGCCCACAACATCGTTCCACAACTTTGCCCCACGGTTCTTCCAAGGTTCCCACAGCTTTGCTCCAAGGTTCCCACGAGGTTCCCACAACGTGGCCCCGAGGTTCCCGGCGCAAGTTTCCCACAAGGTTCCCGCAAGGTTCCTAATCGACAGTCAAGGAAACGTCATCATACCTCAAGTCTATTTCATTGTGCTTCCTACTGTTACCTTT